GCTTGCTTATGCACATCACGATTTCGTAACCAGGACTGCGGCATAAATAACTGAACGTACTTTCTGGTGATAGAAATTTTTAAAAAATTAAGCTNAAAAAAAAAACTACTCCAAGTGTTCGCAGTTCAACGAGTCAGTAACTAATCATAAGGCGATGGCGGGGGCAGCATAGGTTAGGACCAGATCAGACAAAAAGACATATGTAAGTGAACTGGTCAAGATTTTTTTCAAGAATAAAAATTACAGCTCTTCCTGATGCAGTAAAGTCAGAATCAAACATAAAGTCTTGGTGCGTTAATCTATCCAGACTTCTGAAGGATGCATCCACGCATTCGACTTCATTTCAGACTCGTAGCGGTGTACTGAATGCGTACATGGCCTATACAATGACTGGCGGCGCCCAGCTGATGTACAAGTTAGTGTTTTTATTCTTCCAGATGAGTGTGGTACCGTTTGACCGACCCCGAAGGGATGCAGGGCTTGGTTGGCCTAGGCGAATATCGTCCAGGGATTCAAACCCGTGATTGTGCGTGTGAGATAGTGTGTCACTTGTCACTACACCATCTCCGCATCTCCGCCAGAGTCACAATACATACGAAAATGGTAACAGAATTTTACTTAACCCCAATTTGAGGGTTATGCTCTTCACCTTCCGCTCATTTCAGTCAGAGTAATCGAGAAACCGGGGAAGCAGCCACTGATATAAATAACCATTTCGATGGTTGAGTTTAACGATATACCTCCTTCTTCCCCTTCAGCTCGAATTTGGTGAACAGCTAAGCCTTTTCCCTCGTCACTGACCCAACCTCAGAAGGAGTTCCCATAGCACTGGAAAAAAGAAAGCATGGGAACAACTTGCAATGGAGAGACAGTGCCGAGAAATGTTGTTATCACGCCCATGGTCCAAGGATGAAATTTCGTCGAATCGGGTTTCGATTATAGAACTTTTTATTAAGGGCGTTCGGAATTGCGTCTGACACGCAAGTGAGGATAAATTTGTGAATCAACAGACCCTGTAAATCACCAAACCAGATAAATAAGCATCTCAACACATCTATAACAGAAATCTGAATGGAAGTCAAATGCCAAGAATATCTCAAAAAGGCATTGATCAAGACCAAGCAATACATGCCCAACGGTCGCTTGAAGGCGGAAGGCACATTGACGCTTTTTTTGTGAAGAAACGATTTCTCCGATGTCGCCTCCCGGTTTTCGGAAATGCCATTTATTCAGATGATTCAATAAACATTAATTGTGGCGCTTCTGTGAATTGTACATACATAATACAGATTTAGTATCCTTGAAAAAAGAGCATAAACAGAAGAGAAAATGATCTATATGCCCAGGAAAACCTAGTGAATATTGTGTAAGCGCTTGCAGAGCTCACACATTGAACGACCTTTTTAGAAGGGACGGTTCCACTTCAATGATTTCACGGTTCTCCAACCATCACAAAATTGAATTTATCTCAAACCGGTTTCTCGATAGTCATCTGAATTTGTCGTTTGCACGATTTTTTTTCGCCTAAGTAAGTAATTTCTGAATTACATCGAAATGAGATCACTATATATTTATGTCCTAGTGAGTGTTCATAAAAGCAAAACTGACAAATCGTCTAGGTTGCAGATGAAGGTTTTTTATTGCTAATCGGCTGGAGAGCTACAAAACGAAACCTCCATATAAGTTTTACCAACAAATTACGGGATAACCTTATCCTAAATTTCAAACTATCGCCGTCATTCTCTGCCTCAGCAACAATCCTTCCCATACGTCACACTACCAGCTCAACTGCACCCAGCCTCTTTTTCATAATGAGTACGAATTGAAGGCGAAGATATGCTTTTACAAGTATGAGCCACTGAGCCATACTGTCGCACACAGAAACCCGACAGAATACGGCAAATTGCCTGCCTCCAAAGTGAAAACCTCAACCGAGGAAGCGGAAGAAAGGCTATCAATATCAGTAGAGAATAGAAGTAAGTTAGAATAAAGATTCAACTTGAGAAATGCAGCGTGAATATGGCATTGACGCAGTTGAACAATAAAAAACAATGAAAATGAAAAAGTAATCCAGTCAAGAACAACGTCTTCTGAATAAGATCACAAACCTAAGACAGAGCTCGATTTGATTAGTACACTCTAACTTAAAAGCGCAGTTCACGATAATTTTGAGGCACACTTTTAAAATCGAAAAGTGGAAGTATTGATGAGGATAATGCATCGATAGCAAAGAAAGCGATACGCCGTTCTTGGTAAAAACAAGGCTTTACAAAAGTAACTAAAATTGAAGTTGTACGAGATTACCATGAAGGAAATGACATAGAGGTATTCAGTTTTTAGTTGTTGTCGTTGCGCCCTTTACCACTACACCACATCCACCCTACACTATTTTCAGCATATAATATTCACTAGAATGCGCCCATTTTCTACGTTGCAGATGTATTACAATACGTAACTGCTGAAAGGGTGAGGCTGGCAGTGCCTTGTCTTACAGTCACTACCAAGCATATGGTCCGAGGACCGAATACCGAAAACACGCCCACTCCAACTCGTGCCGGTAAGTTGGTACCAGATTCACTTGGGAAAAATTGAAGCCTCAGTTTTAACATCACATTTCCTCAGCAAGTCAACGAAGCGATAAACCTAAGGGAATTCTGATGCAAGAAGGCCTTTCAGAGCCATAAAACTTAGTCTCTCCATCTCTTAACTGATGAAACAGCGGTTTCAGACGGTGAACCAAACAGTTTCCTACACACAGCACCAAGTATGTTTCATCTATTTCACAGTGACCCCATAAAAATTTTGTGTTCGGAAATACAAAGACAACGGAAAAAACGATGGCTTTGTAAGGTGTAAAATAAAAAAATACAATGTAAACTATTGCACCAAGAACCCATTTTCATCATAAGTCCAAACATTCAACAAGAACGAAGAATTCACCATTAATCCAAATAAGACAGGTAAATTCACAATCATGCCTTGAAAGAAATCTGTGATGTCGAAATTGGCGGGTGGATGGGGTTCTATTCTTATCTACGACTTTAAGACCACAGGTGTTTTATCAGCGTATATGACACAATTCCCTAACGCTGGAAAGAAAAAAAAACCAGACCGAACCACTAAAATCAAAATCCTTAAAATAAGAAGGATTTCATCACTCCCCGCCCCTGTAATGTTTTCATTATTTGCTTCTTACAGCTGTGAAAACGGCATCGACAACTAAATACTGTATCATAATTATTATTGATATTTGTTCAATTCACCACTATAATCAGTTTCATTTACCGGCGATCTACTTCGTTCTTTCCAGATGTAGGTGTCTTTCGTCTACCCGAACTGAGGCTACCGAATTTGGTGTGGGAGATAAAAGGGTGAATTACAAATTAATCTCGTACTGCGGCGAAGTAACAGGAGTTAACGAAAAACATCAGGTCAGATCATGTTATATCACATCAGCTTACATGTCTTCGCTTCATTGCCGATATCGACCGACCGGCCCATTCAGTTGTACATGGGAGTGCTGATAAGCTACATATGTCTCTAAAGCCATTTCGGAGTGAGGGCCAGCGGGGTCTCGGTACTGAAAGGGACAAAGAGCACGTTGCCCGGATAGCGCAATTACGGGTTCGTGTCCTTTCCGAGCTCGAAGTTTTGCCCACAACTCAACAACCCTGTGAGACTTTCGGAGCGCGTACTGCGGCCAAATAACAGCAATCAACAAAACACCAAGTCAAAATAAGCTAACAAATCAAGTAAAGCTTCCAGCTTAACGGCTCAGTGCTGATATTGGCCGACCGACCCATCACGTTGTACGTGTGAGTACTGATAAGTTATGGCATTTAAGCCATTAAGAAGGCGAGGGCAAGGGGGTCTCGGTGGTCGAGGGGACAAAGAGCACGGTGCTCGAGAAGA